AGATACCCTGCGTACTTTTGTAAGCTCTTGAGAGCTTTCTCCACAACCACCCTCGCTCTTAGTGTTGCTACCTAACATGTTTCCCATCTTTTAATATGTTACTCACCGCGTGAGGCCCAAGGAATCCGCCACTTACGCGTGAGCCTGAGGGGAGTCTAAAAGCCCTGTAGGTGCGCGCCACCCAGAGCCCAGGCTTATCCCCAACTCACCTGTCTCGCAGCTCTGTACTGGAGCGTTGTCCACTTTCACGTCTCGGGGGTGATCAGTCCCCGGGCGGGCCTCCAAATGTCGATGTCCGCTCCCGGCCGGCAGGAAGGACACACGACAAAGTCTGGTAGTGGACAACCTTTTCTTTTTATTTTCCTTCTCCGTACAGCCTGCCCTGGGATCGCTCCCAGCCGAAGCCTCCTCTGGTCCGCTCCCCGCGGCTCCTTCTGGGCTTCGCTCCGAAGCCTCTACCGGTCCGCTCTCCGCGGCTCCTTCTGGGCTTCTACTTCCGGGCTTCTACCTGGCTTCTTCTTCCGCCCAGGGGTGGCACCGGTATATATACGGGTACAGTGTCCAATCATGTTAAAGTAAGCAAGGCAAGCTGATTGGCTAACATCATCAGTTGCCAGGCAGACTATATTGTTGAGCGGGTTGTTTACGCGGTAAGCAGGAAACTAACATATTCGATGGGAGGGGTAATCTACCTCAGGCTTTGCTCTTTACCACAGGCCGCACGTCCGCCGCGCAAGGCGAGCTATCACAGACGCGGCTCCCAACAGGTGCACATATATTGCTGTGGTATGATGTTTTTAAGTCTTCTGGAAGGATAACATAAAGAGAATAGCTAGGTCAAATGGGACCTCTAATCCTAGATTTTTGAGAAGTCTTCACACTTATTTCCACAGTGGTTGCATCAGTCTTTACTCCTACCAACAATGGGGAAGGATTTCTTTTTATTCACAGTCCTGCAAGCATTTGTTATCAGTTAAGTTTTTGATGATAGCCATTCTTTCTAGAGTGAGATGGTATCTCAGTGTTGTTTTTATTTGAATCTTTTGAAAGACCAATAATGAACTTTTTCCCTGTATTTATTTGCCATATATATTTCTTCATCTGATAAGCATGTTCTCATCTCAGGTGGAGAGGGGTCTGATTTTTTTTCAATTCTTTGTATTCTAGATATAAGTCCTTTGTCTGAGGGACAACTGGGTATAAAATTTACCCAGTCTATGAGTTTCCCTTCACTCTGTTGGTGATTTCTTTTTCTGTGAAATTTTTTTTATTTTAAGGGGATAAAACAGAATAAAACCAGTCAAAACAAACCAGTGTAAAAGATACAGGATTTCAAAGCACTGAAAATCAGTAGTTACCATAATGCCTTTTGATGTCTTCAAAATAGCTTCAGATAACTTCAGATACAGTAAATATCAAACAGAACAGAATAGAATAGAATCAATAAAAGCAAAACAATGAACGCAATAAAGGACTTCAAAACAAGCCTATAGTAAATCCAAAATTGCTATCATAATATATCTTGCAACCTTTGAAATAGCTACTCCTGCCATCAGACTTGACATAATCAAACAGAACAAAAGAGAGTAAAACCTAAGTCAACAAACAATGGAAATAATATAGGACTTCCAAAATAAGGCCATAGAGAATCAACAATGACTGTAACCCTCAGAAGGAGATCCCCCCCTAGATGTCACACTGCATACCACTATCCTCTGAACCTATGATCAGACCACTGGCCCTAGACCTGCAATGTTAGTGAAACACCACAGTGCCACAGGCATCCTGTTGTGCAACAAACTTTCTAATGAGGTGAGATCCCATTTGCTGATTCTTTGTATTATTTCACATGCAGTCTGGGTTTTGTTCATGAAGTCTCTGCCTATACCTGTGTCTTTGAGATTTCTACTTATTTTCTCTCCCTGTATATTTGGTGTTACTGCTTTAATACTTAGTTATTTGATCTATTTTGGCTTTAGTTTAGTGCATGGTGATAGACAAGGGCCTAGTTTTAATCTTTGGCATGTGGAAAGGCACTTTTGCCAGCACCATTTATTAAAGACACTATATTTCTTTAACTGAATGTGTTTGGCTCCTTTGTCAAAGATAAGGTGGCCAAATGTGTTTGGAGTTTTTGTTTTATTTCTAAATTTTCTCAGTTCTTCTTTAATATTTTATTTTTTGAACAAAGTAATTTACAAAATTATAGTGTACAATGTAAAAATTAACACATTCCTACTGTCCTTTTCAGTTCTGTAGTTATGGAGGCAACCAATGTTAAAAGTGATATTTAGTCTTCAACACTGACCTTCTATACTTTTAGAAGAATATACACAAGGTGACTGTGGTGCCTCCTTTCTATATCCCAGCAAGCAGGAAGCTGAGGCAAGAGGATCCCTGTGAGTTTGCAGTCAGCCTGGGCTACATCGTGAGTTCAATGTAGCCTGAGCTACACAGTGAAACCCTGTCTCAAAAAAATATATATACAGCATAATTCATGAATATATGGAATTGTGTTTAGGCATAATGCATATATATGTGTGCATATATATACATATATATATATATATATATATATATACACACACACACACACACCCCTCTCTTGATTTTTTCCTTTCTTTGTTTTTTCTTCATTCATTCCTTTGTTTTTCTTTTCCTTCTTTGCTTGAAGGAATGAATATATATTTTTCATAATATGTTCATAATATGCTCTTTTATTTTTGTTTAACGATGTATTACTGATTTTCCTTGAAGTTAGTAGTTTGTTATAACTGCACCTTGGAATTACTGAGCAGCAGCTTTCACAGTTCCAGGGATTTTTGAAGTAATTGTTTGGGATGAGCTCTGGACATCAAAATTTATGAAATTTTCCCAGATGGTTTTACTGTGTAGCCATGTTGATATGCATTGCTTTAGGTTAATACACATGAATCCAACTTATTCTTTTTAATGGTTACACAGTATGCATATTGTGGCTGTATTAAAATTTATTTATTCTTCTACTGATAGGGCTTCACCTAGTTTTACTAAAAATACTTCCATAAACATGCACTCTTAGTTACTCATTCCTTTATTTTTATGGAATACAGTCCTAGAAGTAGAATTCCTTGATTTATATGTATGAATTTTTAAAATTTTTGGTACTGCCAGATTTTTTCGAAGAAATTCAGCTAGGCATAAATGGTGCACTTGGGAGGCTGATGCAGGAGGATCATGAGTTTGAGGCCTGCCTTGCTGTAAAGTGAGACTCTCTCAAAATGTAAAAGACAAGCAATAAGTACTCAGCTTTTTATACCTTGGTGAATGTGGTTGAAGACAAAATGTATTTGACTCTTTCTTTATGTATTACTGAAGTTGTACATATTTTCACTCATACTTATTTCCCATTTACATTTCTTTTCCTATGATTTGGCTGCTGGTGTTCTTTGCCATTTTCAACTGAGTCATTTGTCTCTCCCCTTCAAATTTTAAGAAACCTTTGAATAAAGGAATATTTTCCTTTTTTGGTCACATATTTTATAATAATTTTCTTCTAGCTAGCTATTTGTCTTTTGATAACATACAACACTATGCACATTTCAAATTGTTGAGAACATTATTAAGTCTTATGCATGCACTGTATTTCAATACTTTACATTGGTAATCTTTTGTCACTGTAATTCCTAATAGTTGCAAACAATTGTAATCAAGTCCTTTACATTAATTCAAGCTTCTAGATACAAACAACAGACAAACAAAACCTGTGACTGTGAGGTTGTTTATAAAAATACCACAATTAATATTTCCTTTTTTAAAGTTTTTCCATAATTTAGGGGCTTTAGTGGATTCTACAAATGAAATTTGATCAAATGTTTTTGTGATTTGTGATGATATTTCCCAAACTATTATAGTATTTGGTCAACCAATCAGTCTATAAAATTAGAGAAATATAACTTTAGTATTTGTACAGTAATAGCTCCTAGGGAACAAATCATATTACAGAATTAAAACAATTAAGTTTCTTAAGTAAATGATTAGCTCCTTTGTGAAAGAAAGGTTACTTTCTTTTTTCAGGCTACTTAAGAATATAGTTTTGATTCCAATAAAATTATTTTTTTACATACTTACTCTATGTAAGCCACCTGCTAAATGTCATAAGGGATGAGTCCTATATGGTCATTACTTTTAAAGAAAATTTTAATTTAATAGGGGAGCAAACATAAACCTGTTATTTTACAGTTAAGTACCACAAGAGAAATGCGAAAGTGAAGAGTAAGTTTTGATAGCATCAGCAAAGTGTTCTTAAAGGCAGTGTTCTTTGAGACAGTCAAAGGTAAAGGGAAGGGTGAACAGGGATGAAGTGAGGAGAACACACTTGTTTTAAGGATGAGTTTTCCAAGATGAAGGAAAATAGCAAATAAAGATACCTATTTGTCATTTTGCCAAATAGGTAGCTGGAAGTAGCCTGCCTGGAGTAGACTGAATTGCATGGCTGGAGAGAAGCACACAGAGAGAATAAAAGGACCCCACATGGAAAAAATAAGAGTACACCAGACCGTTGTAGGTCTTGGATGTGCATTTATTTTGATAACAGGATGTTTAGTTGGGAGATTTAGTTTGATAGGGAGAGATTTAGTTGAGAAGTTTTGTAATATTAATTTGATGCTATCAGTGGTTCAGTCCAAAATGAAAAGGGTCAGGTGACAAGTGGGTAAGTGGTTAGTTCAGTTCATATATTCCTGTCCAGACCCACTGATCTCATCTGCAAGACTGGATCAGTTATGCCTGTGACACTGTGTGGTGGTGATGGAACTGGATGGTGTAAATGAAGAGCCTGGCCTAGCTCTAGATATGTTGTAGGTATACTGTGACGATTATGGATAATTCATTATTATATAATCATTTAGAACAAGTATTTCAGATGGAAGTACAAAGTTATTTTGGTTAATTTCATCCTGACATCTTTACAGCTAAATTTACTTCTATTTCTCTCTAAGGTTCTTCAGAAAGCATATTAGATGAGCACCCTAAATCAAACAAGAGTGACCGAGTTTGTCTTCTTGGGACTCACTGATAATTTGGTGCTGGAGAAACTGTTTTTCATGGCATTCTCAATCACTTATATGCTCACTCTTTTGGGGAACACTCTCATCATTTTTACCACAGTGCTTACTGCACGTCTCCACACTCCCATGTACTTCTTCCTGAGCAATCTGTCTTTTATTGACATTTGCCACTCATCGGTCACCGTGCCCAAGATGCTGGAAGGCTTGCTTTTACAGAGAAAGACCATATCCTTCAACAGTTGCATTGCACAGCTGTTCTTCCTTCATCTCTTTGCCTGTGCTGAGATCTTTCTGCTGACCATTATGGCATATGATCGTTACGTTGCCATCTGTGCTCCACTGCATTACCCCAGTGTGATGAAAATGCGAGTCTGTGTGCAGCTCGTATTTGCTCTCTGGCTCGGGGGTACTGTTCACTCATTAGTGCAGACCTTCTTGACCATTCGTCTGCCCTACTGCGGCCCCAACATTATTGACAGCTACTTCTGCGATGTGCCTCCTGTCATCAAGCTGGCCTGCACTGATACACACCTCACAGGGATACTGATCGTGTCCAACAGTGGAACCATCTCCCTTACCTGCTTCTTGGCCTTGGTTGCTTCTTACACTGTCATCCTGGTTTCTCTCCATAAACAGTCAGCTGAAGGGCGCAGGAAAGCCCTGTCTACCTGCTCAGCCCACTTCCTGGTGGTTGTCTTCCTCTTTGGACCGTGTATCTTCATCTACACACGGCCAGACACCAGCTTCTCTATGGACAAGGTGGTGTCTGTTTTTTACACAGCGGTCACCCCTTTGCTGAATCCTCTCATTTACACCTTGAGGAATGAGGAAGTAAAATGTGCTATGAAACAGCTTAGGCAGAGACAAGCTTTTCCATAAAATCCTACACATGATGGTCATTGGCATGATAAGCATTATTGTGGCCATGTCTTCCACTAGGAAGCAAAGCTAAAGAGCATTAGGTGAAATGGGAAGGTGCAGGGAAGATTCTGCATTAGTGAGAAACATTATTACTTAAATAAAGGAAAAGATTTTAATGGAATATATAAGGAAAGAGGCCCACAAATTTTTAAAGAAGGCTTTTGGTTCTCCCATTAAAGGAACACAATTTGGTGAACTAAAGTTTGGTTTCAGATTTGTGGACAGGTGCATGTGTGGATAGCTGGTCTCTTGATTTACACTGTTCTGTAGATTATTGCCTTTGGGAAGCTGTATATCAGACCTGTTTTATACGCTATAGTGATTACAGTATTGCTTTTGAATGTATTTTCAAAAAGATGACTTTATGCTGAATTATACTCTATTGGTTTTGAATAGGATTCTTCTATTACATTCAGATCTACTCTGTAAAGTATTTTTATGTACTTTAATTTTGATGAAATCTAGGTGATTTATTTATTTATTTATTTAACTGAGGATTGAACTTAGGTCCTTGCCCATGCTAGGTAAGAGGTCTACTATATAAAGAACTTAAAGATTATATGTATTAAAGTAAACTTTATATTACATAGGATACCCTACCTTTTAATTGTGCACTTTTAATAAGTTTTGACCAAGGTACACACATACCTCTATATGTAGCTACCTTGCTAACCAATAGTCAGAACTTTCTGACCACCACGTTTAGTTTCCCTCAGTCTCTTCCCAGTCAGTCCTTCCGTTTCCCTCCAAACACTCAAAGATTCCACTTTCTTCAGTGTAGGTAAGAGTAGGGTTGGCTGGGGGATAGCTCAGTGGCATGAGCGCCTGTCTGGCAAGTGCGAGGTGGTGAGTTTGAAGAGTAGTCTTTTTCTAGAGTTTCATATATATTGAATGATATTGCATATGCTCTTCTATCCCTGGTTTCTTTTGCTCTATTTGCTGTTTCTGAGGAGTAATCCATGTTTTTGTGGATATTGCTAGTTGTTTCTTTTTATTATTGAGAAACATTTCATTATATGGATATACTACAAATTGGTTATTTCTTTATGTGTTCATAGGCATTTGAATATTTCCAGTTTTTGACAGTTATCTATAAAGTAGCTATAAACATTTATACACAGATTATCTTGGACATGCATTTTTTTTTTAATTTTTCCTTTTTATTGGTACCAGGGATCAAACTCATGACTGCCTGCTTGCAAGGCAGGCGCTTACACCACTGAGCTAAATCCCCAGCTCCTGGACATGCATTTTTAACACTCGAGTGAAAATCCATTGAGTGAGTTGAATTCCATAATAATGCATGCTTAACTTAGCAAAAAACTAAAAGACCTTTTTCAAAGTGGTTGTATGATTTTATACTCTCATCAGAATTATAAGTTTTACATTTAATAATTGTTTTTAATTTGAGGTATTTTTGCAAATGTATGGTTTCAATTTGTATTTCCCTAATGGCTGGTAATATTGAGCTTTGTTCATTTATTATCCCATAATAAATTTTGTTTTTGATGTGTCTGTTCAAAGATATTGTGTATTTATTGTTAGTTTTTTTTTTTGTCTTTTTCCTTTTTTTATCGGTACCGGGTTATTGTTAGTTTTTAACTTTTTGTTCAGAACATGTATTCTGGATACAAGATCTTTATTGAAGATGTGTCATGTCCTGCATGTGTAGAATCTATAAACAGTTTATGAGAACTGATCTTATGACACATGATGAAATGAACAGATACTTTGAAGAAAAAGACACACTAAAATACCCAGTGCTGATCCTGGAGTGTCATAATGTGAAACCCAGCAATAGTATTATTTTTTGTTCAGAGTGATATTAGCCTGCTTGGGTTTATTCAATGTCAACATAGTTGAAGATATGAGTAACTGCATGTATGTTTAAGTGTATAGGATTGATAACCATATTTCTAAGCTTTTGTTGGATAGTTGAACAGAACTGGTTGCAATTTCACTGTTTGAATCCCAACTTTATATGCTCCACTTTAGTATCTTGAATAACTATTTGTAAGAACACAATCTGTAATCATCAACTAGTGATTTCTTACCATTTTTTTCTTTGAAATTATGTATTATTTCTACTTGTTTTCTGTTTTTTTAGTCTTTCTTTAAATTCAATTTTAAAAAGAAGACACTACAGTATCCAGTGCTGATCACAGAGTGTCATGATGTGAAATCCAGCAATACTATTATTATTTGTTCAGAATGATTTTAACCTGCTTTAGTTTGTTTAATCTAAACATAAATGAAGATATGGATAACTGCATGTATGTTTAAATGTATAGGATTGACAACCATGTTACTAAGTTTTTGTTGGACAGTTGAACAGAACTGTTTGCAGTCTCTCTGTTTGAATTCCCACTTTACATGTTCCATTTTTGTACGTTGAACAACTATTTGTAAAACGACAATATCAACTAGTGATTTCTTACTGTTTATTTTTTTCTTTGAATGTATATACTATTTCTACCTATTTTCTGTTTTGTATAGTCTTTCTTTAAATAAAAATAAAAAAAAGATGTGTCATGTCTATATTTTTCTCATTCTATGCCTTGCAATTTCATGTTCTAAACAGTATTGTTTGGAAAAGAAAGGAACAAAAAAAATTTTTTTTGAGGCAGAGTCCTTGAACTCATTATGTAGCCCAGGTTTGCCTTGAACTTGCAGTGATCCTCCTGCCTCAGCCTCCAGAATGCTGAGATTACAGGTGTGCACCACGTGTGGCTAAACATTTGATCAAATACAAATTACAAATTTTTTTATAGCTGATGATTTTTCTGTCTTAAGAAATCTTTGACTACATCAAATCAAAGATTTTTCTGTTTTAACCTAGAAATTTTATAGTTTTAGCTTTAAATTGTAGGTGTATTATCCACTCTGAGTTTGCTCTTTTGTTTTATAAAAAAATTCACACAAAATTTTATAATAAAGTAGTAACAGCAATAGTTAATAAATTTATCATTATCTTCAAACTGGTTACTCAGAGACAAAAAAACTATCTCGTACAAAGTAGAAACAGAAAACTTTTTTTTCAATGAACTAAGAGAAACTGGTAGTATCAATGAAAGCAATCTGCTTTATCTTTATTTTTGTGGTGCAGGGGACAAACTCACCAGAATTTGTACTTTTTATATATGATATGAAATAAGGGTTGAGATTCAGTTTTTGATCTATCTACTCGATTTAGAACCTGTCTCAGTTGAATTACCTGAACGCCTTCATTGAAAATAATTGTCACTTCTAGTGAGAATTCATTTTTTGTTCTCTTATTCTGACACCATAAACTTATGCCTCTAGCAGACTGTTTTGGTTATTTTAGTTTTACAGTGGTCCTGAAATTATATATTAAGAACTATCATGGTTTTCTCAAAACTTTTTTGTTGTTTCAAGTTCTTTGCATCTTAATATACATTTTAGAAATGCCTGTCTATTTCTGTAAAGGGAGACTATTAGAACTTAGATTAGGATTTAACAGAATCTATAGATCAATTTGAGAGATAATTATCTTAGCAAAATTCAATCTTCTAGTAAACACTGTCCTTGAGAACCTAGTCAGTGCAGGAAAGCAAAACTAAATCACTGTCATAAAGACTTGAAAGGAAGAAGTAAAACCATCTTTATTTACAAATTACATCATTATGAGTGTATGAACTCCATAGAAATGTTGAGGGTGTAGGTCGGTGGTAGGGTGCTTGCTGAGCATTGCAAGGCCCTAGGTTCTGTCTCCAGCACTGCAAAAAAGGGTGAGTGATAAATAGTTCAAAAATCTAATGGGATTTATAAATGTGTTTAACAATGCCATAGGACAGTGTGTAGTAGAAGGCATGTGCAATACAGAACAGTTGACTTGCTAACTCTAATTTAAAGCCTATAAGTAACTGAAATCATAGAAAGTACGGAAGAGGAAAAAAAAATCAATTAATCTACTAAATAAACCTGGAGAAGCTCATCAGGAATTAATATTTGTAAATTGACAAACAAGTTTATAATATTGTCAGTGTCTTGTCATTCTCATAGAAACTCAAGTCAAATAAGAGTTTTATATATCTCTATGAAACAAGGTCCAGATATCACTACTAATATATACATTGAGAACTTAGAAGAGAAACCCCTTATGTCTTACATTCTGGATTTATACATGGACAGATATTCATGCCCTAATGTCTTTCATGTAGAAATAAATTCCCAGTGCTTTATTTGTTTATTTGTACCAAGGCATATTTGTTAGTATACTGCCTGATGAATTCAATTATTGAATAAAAACTTACTGAACAAACTTTTATATTGATAAAAGTCCTTTTCTAAAAGTTAACCACAGAACCAAGAGTCAAGATATTTTCATTTTATTCTTTATTCAGTAATTAACAAAAAACATTTTCAATCTTGTCTAGAGTCTAAAATACATTCTGAGAACAGGACAATAAACATCGTATTTTATCTTTCCAGAGAGTTATGAAGGTTAATGTGATTGGAAATGGTTAGTGTTAGAAATTTTGCTTGTTTTGAAAACAATAGGCAAACATGACATTTATCTGTCAGTTTCAACCTTAAAAACTGCCAGCATTATCTCATTTGTCATATTGTATCTCTCCTCTGTGGGCTGATTCTTGCACAAAGTGCTTCTATTTGGATTCCATGGAAAATTACATCTTATTGTCTTCCACTGGCTATAACAAGAGGACATTCATTTTGTGCAAATCCTGTAATTCTCATATTTGCCTCAGATATTTCACCAACCAATACAAATGAGAGATTTGTACTACCTAGAAGATGATCTTTAACAAAAGACTACTCTCTTAACTGTTAGAATTGTCTGGTGGAAATTAACTTGTGCTTCCAGGAAAACCCTCCAGGATGCCTTCATAACCAGCTCTCCATGTTACAGAAATGGCTTGTGTGGCTTAAATTTCCCTCTTAACACATTTTCTGGCAAAAATACCCCTAAGAATGGA